AATACTTAATTGTTAGTGCTAATTTACTTATTTGTTTGCTTATTAGACTTTTATCCCATCTTTATTAGTTTATAAGCAATTCAAAGCCAGTGAACATTTCTACTATTCCTTCCTCCTCCTATTTTCCCTACAACAACAACCCTGTGGTGGGTTGAGCTGAAAGAGTGTGAGTGGCCCAAAATCACCCAGATGGCTTTGATGCTTAAGGTGGGACTGTAAATTCTTCACCATTACTCAGGCTCTCATTTTCTTCTCCCTTTTAGAGTCTTTCGATACGATAGTAGTCTTAAGGAATTAGATTAATTTTAAAAAAAACTGGCTACAAATGAGCTATTAAAAAACAGTACTGAGGAGGTGAGACATGATAGTTCTCACTCTTGTCTTTTATTCCCCTTTGGTTCTCTTCCTTGCACTCCTTCCTAAATACAGTCAAGCCTGTTGAATCGATCTGGGACAATTCAACCTGGCCAGGCAGGAGCAATCCCACACCAGGAGGGCAAAGAGGCCAGCAGCAGCAAGGGCAGCCGCTCGGCCATTTTAAGACTTGTGGATTTCAACTCCCAGAACTCCCCACAGCCCCCCCCCCCCAATCAGCTCCTTCCCCTTTCTGTGTCAGGGCAGCTCACGCTCACTGGGTCTGTTGGAAATTCGATTGCGCCCCACAAGGGAGCCTCCACCTTGGTGGACAGTTGTCTGGGAAAGCTGAGGTGGACAGCCAGGGGTGAGGGGGAGAAGGGAACAAAAAAAGCACAGACTTTTCTCAGCACAAAGCACAAAGCTTCACAGAAAGCAAATCAAACCGTGACGGTGGGGGGGGGGATTTTCCTGTGAGTACAGTGTTAAAAGTTAACATTTCAGAAATGCTACCTGTGGAGGTCTCCCGGCGCAACAATGTGCCACAGCTTCAGAGCAAACCTCTGCCTTCCCTGCGCAGGATTGCAAGGCTGGAGGCTTCGCCTTGCTCCGATCAGCAGGGAAATCCCCTCCCCCATTTCCCTGCTAATCATTCTATCCTTGGGGAGCCCTGCGCAGACACACATCCCCAAAATGCTCCCTTCCAAGCCTTCAGCCTTGCAATCCTGCTCAGGGAAGGCAGAGGTTTGCTCCGAAACTGCGGCAGAGCATTGCACTGGGAGCCTCCACAGAGAGAGAGAGAATGAGAGCCATCTCCCAGCCCTTGCTAGCTCAGCTGATCCGTGGGCCATGATTAAAGGGCCAGGCCTCCATGAAGTGACCAGGGAAGGGCTGCCTCCTGTGTTGACCAGGCCTCCCCTTCACTAGGGCTTATTTTTGGGGTGGGCCTTATATTATGCCCCAGCCCAAAAATCAGGCTAGGGCTTATTTTCGCAGTAGGTCATATATTTGGGGAAACACGGTGTGCGTGTGTGTGTGTGTGTGTATTTCTATTCATCTTAAGAACCCTGGAATCACTGGATAGAATGCTGGAACTTTCTAACTTATTAGCCCTGTCAGCCAATATTGTTATTTTTAGAATGTAGGACATTTCTAAATACCTTTCCAGAATGTGCCTGGAGAAACCAAGCCCTACAGCAACCTCCAGGGCTGTTGTTCTGAAATCAGGGAGTTTGAGCTGATAGATACAGTTTATGCCTATATCCCTGAAAAATAGGAGTGGGGGATTTCATTATTTTTTAACCTAGGATCAGAGGGCGTGCAAGGGAGAGGTTTATCTTCTCTGTGTCAGGGTTCCAAGTAATAAATCCTAAAGCTGACCTGATTCTCTGTGTACCCTATTTTATTAAAAAAAATGCATTTCACTAGAATGGGATGTGTTTTTTTCCCCCACTGAAGGTGAGATATACAGCATTTTAAGACACCTAGTCCTGTATAGCTATGATGAACAAGCCCAGGAATTGCAACAGGCCTTTGAGGACACCCTTCACTTGGTGGAGAGCTCCCTGCTTGAAATCTGGAGCCCAGACTCGCAGCACACCCCAGCCAATCCAGTAAGACATTACTTCCAGCTTTGCCCCCTTGGCACTCTCACTGGCACACTGCATCACACTGTTTTCATTTTGTAAAAGCATTCTTAAGGAGGCCACTTTATTTGAAGAAAAATCCGTTGCAACAGAGAGATCCACAAGGGGTGCCTGCACCATGAGGGGGGAGGGAAGGTCAGGAGGAGGCAAAGGACAAAAGCAGCATCAAGTTGCCTGTTTTACTCTTGAAGTGCACTGCGATACTGCATGCATGTACAAAATGGGAAGAGTGTACGGGAGAATTGCATGCCACTTTCTTTGGCCTGGGGAAGAAGCTAGACATAGTACCAGATTGGGTTTTTACTCATTGCATTTTATTAAAAAATTAAATAAATCATAGCTGCACCTGGTGATGGGTTGCTGTGGAGGTTCTATAGCCATTTTATTTACCTGATTTCTCTTGAGAGAATCCCATTTCACTGGTTTGTGTCAAGAATTCTGTTGCTGCCAGGAAGACGATGTATGTTTTGAGTGTAGGTAGCCCTTGATCTATGACCATTTGTTCAGCAACCATTCCAAATTATGGTGCTAAACAAATGATGCTTGGCGTTCTTATCTGTCCCAGCACCTGTGTTATACAAATGCAATCTGAGCACGTGGCAAATAGTTCACATGCATGACCAGAAAGTCAATGGGGAAGCTGGCAGGGAAATTCACCCCAGTCAGTAAGTCTTCCCCCACCTCTGCACCCTCCCTCAGCCCCTCATTGTTCACACCCTGCTGGCCACTCATGTACCCTCCCCATGTCTTTCTCACACTCTTCTGCACTCATATGCATCCTCAACAGTACCACAACCTGACCCTCCCTTCCACACCCACACCCATTCTCCCTGACCCAGGCACCTTCATGCTCCCAATCCTTCTTCTTACACCCTCCCTGACCTACACTGCACTTCTCAGGCACCCTCCTGGATTTATGCTGTTGTACAACCCCTTGCACCCTCCTCGACCCTTCCTCACTGACCTCGCACACCCCTTCACCCCTCTTGCGCTGAACTCTTGCGCAACCTCCCTGATCCTCCCCTACACCCCCTCGCTTCCTTCCCCACTGACTGGCTGTGGAAAGTCGGCATGAAGTTGCCTCACCTAACAACAATAGGATTTAGTTAATGACAGCAACTGGAATGCAGGGATTTTTATTACTAACAATGCAGTACACTATATGACTTATCACTTAAGCATGGTCCCAATTGCTGTCATGAATCAAGGACTACTTGAAGATTCAAAGCAGGTGCAAGAGTGAGTTGGGAAACAAAATCAAGTTAATTCTCCTGTTCATTCCATAGGGAAAATAATGGTTTTATTGTAGTGTTATTCTAAATAAATCAACATCTTTTACTAATTCCTTGCAATTTTAGATCCTGGGTCCCAATTCAACTGCTAATAGCATAAGTGCTGCCTATACTCAACAGAAAGTGATGGCTCCTATAGTACAAGGTAAGACAGATCATGCAGTGTACAAATTAATTACAATTTGTGCATATGTGTATGTATACCAGTATATGTATATATATAAATATGGGGATGCTGGAACTTAAGCTTGTCTTGAAATGCATCTGTCAGCAATTTATGGGTTGCAAAAGAACCTGTTACAATCCTAATAGTATATTAACATAGCATGGAAAAAAAGTTGATTTTGCCCACTTACAATGTGAAATGGAATAGCAAAGCAAAGTTATTTATTTAAATGATTTATTGAGCTTTCTATCTCACAACTGTGACTCTGAACAGCATACAAAGGCAATTTTATCATCAGCTCTTCAAATACTGCTCACCCGTGGGCTGATAATTCTGGCCTTTTGTTAATTCTCAGCTGCCAAAAAATAAAACTTGGCTCCCAGTTGCAAGAACGCTCACTTTATTTAACATGGAAGGAGATTGTGAACTTCAGTAATTGACCCAAACCCCTTCCTTGCTTAGCTATGCTCTTTGCCCAGGCCTAGCATTCAAATTTTGAACCCACTCCCTAGACATGCGTAGTTACCATGAAGCATGCAATTTAGGAAAGCTCAGAATTGAGCTTGCTGTTTTAGGTAGCAAAGGAATAAAGTTTTAGTTTATTCTTCATTAATTTCATGTAGCAAAGAAATCATAGGACTATTGTCACAGTGATACATTTCTTCTCATTTGTGAGGGTTTTTTTGGTCAGAATGTTTACATAAAGTATACTGTAACATCCCTTACTTTTGCTTGCTTGCTTGCGTATCTTATTTGCAGGATTTTCTCTTGCTTTTTCTTTCTCTTAGATCCAGAGATCGTTATTGCTCCCAAACTCAACAAAAACACTCCGTGGAAGCTTACTCTGCTCCAATAATCTCAGGTCCACAACTATTGTCAGGATGAAGATCTCTCTACAGATAGTCCTCGCTTACCAATAATTGGGACCAGGAACTCCATCACTAAGCAATGAGATCACAGGGCATGATGTCATGTGATCATACCAGCTTAATGACCGCAGTTCTAGCAGTCCCAGTCACCATCATTAGGCGAATCCTGCATTGTCACAACAGCCTATGGTCATGTGATCGGCATTTGTAACTATTGTTTCCTCATTGACTTTGCTAATCAGAAGCTGGCGGCAAATGTTGCAAATGATTATCACCCTGGAACATCATAACTGCAAGTTGGTTGCTAAGCCTCCAAATTGTTATCATGTGACCACAAGGATGCTGTGATGGCCATAACCATGAGGATCAGTCATAAGTCCTTGTTTAGCACCACTGAACGAGTGGTTATTGAGTGAAGGCTACCTGCATTCATCCTTCATTTAAGGATATATGATGAGAAACAGAATTTAAATGTAATGTTTAAACAGATTGTTTAAATAGACATACATAAGGGCAAGGTGAATTTACACTTCTTTGTGAGCCACCTTGCCCTTGTATATGTCTGATCATGGGCTTCCTTCCACATTTTTCTCCCATCATTGCCTTTTTAACCCGATAGCAATCAGTCAGCTTCTACTATTGTAAATTATGTTTCTTTGAACTCTCCAAACTCTTTTTTTTTTGCAGTTTGATATCTGAAATGTTATTTGGAGATTTTAAAGCAGGGCTACCAGTAGCACTTTATTTTTGTAGGGATTTTTTTAAAGATACACAATTCAGTACCACTGAGCAAGAATTTTATTAATATATTAAGCCCTGTTTTGACAGGCTGAATATTGGTGGAACATTCTTTTTCTGAGAACAAAGGAGAGAGAAGATGGGGAGAGGTTAATACAGTTTTATTGTAACTTTTTTCTTTGAATCTCTCATCTTTGATTTTCTACATGATGAAGCACCGAGTACACAGTCCTTTTCTGGACATAGTTTCCAGTGATTGAATACACGAACAGATATGTTTGTGTATGAATGTTGACCGATGCCTGTTTATATTTTTAATAAAGGGTGCATATTACAAATACTGTGGATTGCAATTTCATAACTCTGTGCAACCTCTAAAGATTATGCATAGCCAACATGCACAAGTTTGCTAATGAAAACCTGACTTTATTCTTAAAAGAAATCTCAGAGCTGCTAAAGTTGCTGGGATATACTTCGAAAGCATGTGAATGGTGCAAGGTTAGCACTGGCTATATAACAGGTAAGGTTTAAAAATTCTGCAAAAACACAACTGGAATTCATGAGATATTTTGTTATTTTAAGGTGTTCTACTCTGCTTTTTATTTTTCTTTGTTAAGATAGACACTGTTTTCAGGAATATAGTATGTGTACAATCCTCCCTAATTTATTCAAAAGACAATCCCATTCGGTTCAACAAAGCTTACTATGAATGAATGAATGAATAAGTGCAGTTGCTGGCTCTCAGCATAGATCATCTAATTGGAAGGTTTTCCTTGATGCATTAATCTTCTCTGATTTTTGTTGTTACTCGCACCAAAAAAGGGAATGCTATCTTTTGCTGTTACAACAATGAGCTTTTAATACACAGAGAACAGAATGTCATCCAGATCATATAACATGCAGATTGGTATTATAGGGGTAGCAGGGGAAAGTGTGTCCATTTTGTCAACCAAACTTCACCCCGTTCTCCTAGGCGAAGGGATTCACGTTTGGGATTTAGAAACATTTCCGGTAGATGTAAAAAGGACCCTTTTCTTCATACTCTCTTCTATGAACCCAAAGCTGCTGGAAAGCCTTGAGAGATGCAAGAATGGAGCCTCCGGTCCAGACAGATGTTTTCCTTTCCGGAGAAGCTGATGAAATGGGATTATCATTTGGGCACATTCTAATCAGCTCTCTCTGGAAGCGGTCAGCAAAGCCCTTTAGTGTGGTGCAGCCCCCACATAACAAGATGTTGCCCATCAGGTTCTTTTTGAGGGCAACATCACACTTGTTGAGGGAAGTCATGGTCAGGAGAGGAAGTCCCAGTTGCTGTGAGTTTATCAAGGATGGCTTAAAGAGCATTTCAGCACATAAGAATCTTTCTTTGCCAATAATGATAACTTGCCCGTCAGGAAGCTGATACTCAACCTCATGTTTCCTGGGAGCTGTGGCTGCATCATGTTGATAATCCAGTGAAGTGAAACAATAGTTCTCTTTGATATCCTCTACGATATTCCAGTCTTTCTCTGTGAACAATTTTATATTCTCATTTATTAACTTCATTAGGTACTGAGTGACATCAGATCCAGCATAGTCTACTCTTTCGGTAATGCTTGGCATGGTGTATCCTTCGTAAATGGGAACTACATAGGAGACACCATGACCGCTCTCCACCACGAGACCTGAGGTCTTTCCATAGGAATACATTGACAATCTTGACTGGTAAGCAATGTGCATAGCAGGTGTGCAAAAGGTTTCAAAGAGCATTTCTGCATATTTTTCTCTGTTGGTGGTAGGGCTTAGAGGAGGATCCGATACTAGGACAGCATGCTCTTCAGGTCGAATCCTCATCTCCCTAAGGAAAAGGTACTCCCACATATCTTGAACAGAATCCCAGTCCACTATTATTCCATGTCTTAAAGGATTGACAAGTTTTAAGGGTACTGTAGCTTCCTGAAGTTCTCTTCCAACGAAAGTTTCCTTCCGGTTATCTCCAGTCTTTGCTGTCTCCTGGATATGCTTGCCTACAGTAGATGAAATCACATGGCTTGGCTTTTGTTCTCCAGCAAAGCCACATTTGCAGGAGCCAGTCCCAATGTCTATGACAACAGCTCTTGTCTCCTTTACTATCCTCCTTGGAGCTGCCTCTCCCTCTTCTCTAAATTTGGTACTCGGCTTGACTGCTGGTCCTTTCTTTGACGGCAGAGAGCCAGAACTTGCACTTCCTCTGCTTGACATTTTATTTCCTGATGCTCATATATGCTTACTCTCCATGTACTGACCACCATTTCAAATGGCAGGAATGGACATGATGTAGTAAAGGCCTGATGATACCAACAGTAAGCATTGTGACATCATAATGGGAATTCTTTGAGCAGTACTTCCAACACATTAGTTTCGAGAAGATTGTCCTCAAGGGCAGGCTGCCTACATTTAATTTTATCTACACTTAAGATCCAAAAAGGGGGTCATTTTTAGGTTATATTTGTACAATATACCAAACCATACATACATTCACAATATTCTAAACATGATTTCAAATTTGTGGGTTCACTAATTATACAAGTCCAGCATAACAAAGCACAAATCTTGGAGGAGGAATGTAGCAGTTAGCCAAATACAATTGAAGTCCAAGAAAGAAGACAACTCTAGAAAGAAATTTAAACAGGATCACTTAATTATGAGGAAGAGAAAATGCTGTTAGATTTCCAAAATTCTACTGTAATGTAGATTACAAATCCAGTACTGTATATCTTGCAGAATCTTTTTCCTGCCATGGCCTACATTGAACTGACACCTATTAGGAGAAGCAGACTCTTTATCTTGGATCAAAGATCTGATCTTCAGAGCACTCAACCATCTGCTAAGCATCTTGTTGCAGCATTATTGTAACACTAACAAGTGGATTTATAAAGCAAAATTCCATGATGCACCTAGCACAGCTTTTGCAACATGGCTTACCTCAACCAGCAGTGACATGGGAGCTTGCCAGAAAAGTTTTGGAAATGCTCAGGATCAATTCTAACTTTTATAGCTTCACATTGAGATGGTTTATACTGATGTGGGATGACAGAATATACCACAGACCTCATCGAGATGACTTTTATTCTGAGTTTGCTGAAAGAGACAGCCAAATGAAGTATGCCCAATATCAAATATCTAGTATTGGAGAACTATCAGAATTTTGCACAAAGATTGAGAGCTTCTTTTGATGATTCTGCTAAGAAAGCAACAGGTAATCAAGAGAGTTTAAAGCTAAAAACAAATCATATTTTCTACATTCACATCAAATTTTCATTTTACGAGATAATGGGTGGGGTGTTTTTGCTCTGATTAATCAATGTTGAGATGGACTTGCTGATGAGCTGAGATGAATTGGTGAAACAAGGCACACCAGAGAATCTGGAAGAGCTGTCCCAAAATTATGTGTTAATGTCTATTTTGAAGAAGCGAGGCACAAAAAAAATGGCAAGTGTGTGGGGGGGTGTCTTCTGCAGTCTTCATCTCTAGCTCACCTGCTTGTGGAGTCCCACCTTCGAAGGGCTGACACTCTGCCTTACACAATATGTAGTTTTACTTTCAACTGGGTTTCACAAAGGCTTCTTTCTACAATAGCAATGAGGTTGTGCAATTGCTGGGAGATCAATCTGCTAAGGTGTGGGAATTATTCTTTGTTCTTTGTGTACGTGCTAGGACAACGGAGCCTTCTGGTGGTTGGCTGCAACATGAAGCAAGGAGCAAGGACAAATTGTTGCCATTTCTTAACCAGAACTGTAGCAAACTTAAACTTTGCAGCTTTGTATGCTTATGCGAATGATCAGTGCATTTTGTGTGATGTAATACGTTTGTGATAGGACGCTAACAAAAATTGCTACATTAAGAAAGATTGCTTCTAATAAAAGAGGGTGTCGGAGTTTGCTCTGGGCTTTCATCCCGAGACAACCTTGCGTTGTGTCTTCTTTTCATGAGAGACCACCACACTAAGGTTAAGAGCTATTCCGACTAGTTTGTTGATGTTGTTCAAAGGGGGAATTGTTGGATCCGTTTCAATATTCTGTTTATTGTTAATGCTATTTAAATATATTTTGTTTACCCCCATGGATATATCTCAATAATTTTTTTTGGCTCATGAATTCAAACATTTTCTTGGCCTGTTATCCCAGAATTTATTAGAAGCATGATTGTCAGAATTATACCTAAATGTATAATTTCATTTATGCCTGCTCAGAAATAAAAACTGAGTTAAGGGAGATTGCTTCACACAGGATTGCAATCAACAGAGATAATTAAAATAGACACCCACCTTTTAAAAAAAACAACCTTTTATTTAGCTGGATGAAGTGGTCTCTTAGGTTATTTCAGCCTGAACTACTTAATGGTACTTGTGAAGCTATAATGGGAGGTGCGTGTGGAAGAAAAATAGTATCTCCACTACCTTGAGATCATTTGAAAAAATGAAGGATGTAGGCAGGAGTAGAATTTAATAGGCATTGCTTTGCACTGTATATACATACACTTAATGAAATAAACACAGTTCAAGTGATAGTCTTTTTTTAAATAAGATATCAGATTTCACATTGTAATGCCTGCTACATCCACAGCAGTCCACTTAGAAACAGTATAGTGATTAAGCTGAAAGTTAAATTGGGAAAACACAAATGCCTCCAACATAGGATGGAACATTTTCCTGATATGTCAAACTACAAGTCAAATCTTACTACAGTACATTTTAGGTTTTTCACCCTTTACCCATGCCAGTTTTGAAAATGAAAATGAATATCAAGGTTCAGCTTGTAGAATAGTACCCTGAATGTCAGCACAGCGTTACCTTTCGTCACGTCAAAGTTAAAACATGTAATTACCACATAACAAAAATATTCATTCAACAGCAGGGCTCACTTTAGTTGGCCAACTGGTTATAACAAATTCTTTAGCATGAAAGGCAGAGAAATGTCATAGGTGAAGGTTCCACTGCAAAAGCACAAGCATAACATTGTACAAACCTTTTACATTTCCACATCCCTTCTATCCATAACAACCACTTCCCTCCATAAATACTATTGGTCATATTAAGGTAGACAATGTTTTGGTACACTTCATAAGGCAACAGCATTAATATTTGCATATGAACATTGGAACTGAATTTACCCAATACTCAAGAAGCTGTAGTGCATAAATAAAACGAGTCCACGGGTCATTCTGGCCAATGTTCTTTAAGGTGTTCTTTTAACTGAGGGATAGTCGGCAGTTGCTTTTTGCACATGTGGCACTTCAGAGGCAGTGTTAGAAGTTGGACAGCGTTCTTATCCACAGTTACTTTTCCTTTCTTTTTTATCATTGCTATCACATCTGAAGAGAAAAAGAAGAGAGGCATAATACAAGGGTCTCCAACCCACGGACCGTGGACTGGCACCGGTCCGCAGTATGCCAAAAACCAGGCAGCACAAACAAGCAAAGCCCCATCCATGGGATACAGGCAGCACACGAAACCACGCCCCCTTCAGTCCATGGAAAAACCTCTCTCCACGGAACTGGTCCCTGGTGCCCAAAAGGTTATTATGCCGCTGGCATAATAGATCTAGGATTATAGCTCCAGCCATGTCCACCCCACTCCAAACCCCGCATGAATGGTTTTAGCTACCAATACTTTTCTCACTTTGAGCAAACCTCAGAAATTGGGAGGAGAGAATTCATGACATTTGATGTAATCTTCAGCAATACTGGCAACACATAATCCCAAGGTTCTTTATATTAACGCCAAAATTAGCACCCAGAGAATGGCTGTGTTTCTGTAACAATTCCCACAACAGCAGATATCCAAAAGAGATTTGGTGTGAATAGGTTGTCCAAAAATTTGTTCTGAAAGAATCTTATAAGCCAGTCAAACTGAGCAGTGGCCACACTTGTTTAACTGTGTCTGAGCTTTTCAAATATATATAGGGAAGATATTTGTCCTTATTGGAAGGGAGGGAAGCTGAATTCTCCCATGTTTTTACTTTCCATGGCCCTTTTCTCTCATACTGGGAGAACCTTTTGCAGGGGAACACCTGCCTTGTCTCAAGTCTTTTAGTGCTAAAACTAAATGCGCTTTACCTGTCCACTTGCTTTCTATGGGACTGATGCAGGAACTTTATTAAACCAACAGGGCAGTAACTATTAACTTATTTTGATCTTAAGTTATAGGAAGAAACCCAAGTCTGAATAGGCATAGAAATTAAAAGAGCCTATGTTATTACCTGTAGAGTTCAAGAAGTAGTTGGTCGTGAAAGAATTCCAATGCTTCTTGGTTTTAAACCACTTAGAATCAAAGTCTTGGCTAATGACATGAAGATGTAGCTGGCTAAGAAAAGCAAAAAGCAAAAATAATAACTAGGATTGATATCACTACAGCAAAAACAATGTGCTAAAACAGCATTTTTACTAACAAAAGATACAGGCCAGAAGGCAGCATTTATTCTAATGCATGTTTGATAGAAGGTTAGCACACCTTAGTTCTGCCTTACCTCATGCTAGGAATGGCATGATAGCCTAGTCTGAAGCTCAGGCTGTCTTTCTCTGGGCACTGCTGGATTATCATTTCTCCAATCTTGTGCATATGTTCCAACAGTTCAAGATGCTCATGAGTTACAGCAAATAAAGTGGAAATGGATTTCCAGGGCAGCACTAACCAGTGATAGCGAGCTTTGGGATATTTATCCTTTATAACTGCAACTTGCTCATCCTTGTAAACCTAACAGATAGGGAAGAAAATGCATCAGAGTTACAGTGATGTTAATATTCTCATGTTTATCAGTCTTGAAGCAAAGCAACATGAAAACCTTACCTGCACATCTGGATTTTGCATAGAAACCTTCAGACCTTGAGCCCAGTATGGCATACATTCCTAAAGGACAAACAGAAGAATCTAAATAGATAGATAGATAGATAGATAGATAGATAGATAGATAGACAGACAGACAGACAGACAGACAGACAGACAGACAGACATAGTAAAACTACAAAATGTATCTTGAAGAGTCCAGTGTGAAAGGCTTCCTACTACTTAAGTAACGAAGCTTCAGATTGCAATCTTAAATTCAATTTAATTGTGCTTCTGAATAGCTAAAATAATTTTAAGAACTTAAATACTTTTCAGAGTATACATAATACTAAAACACTTACCACTTTGAGACTGCTCCCAAGAGAAACAAATATAACTCAATAGACAGAATGTACCTTACTCAAATCTTAAGAGCAATTCAGATAGTGCCTGCCCCCAAGTGGTGACCTAGTTCAAAATGCCAGTCACTCGCATACTCTAAGCTCCAAAAGCATTCTCAGTACTTTTTCCTGCTCCCTAGATAATTATGAGTTTTGGATTAACCTCTCTTAATGATGGAATGGCTTTTATCAGCAGAACAAGGAAAGATTTCCTTCTGCCTGCAGCCCTAGTATGTTTTCGTAATTTTCTCTAAAGGGGCCTAGAATTTTTGGGGGGGGCAACATCAGGGATTGTGTGTGGGTCAAAATGGGGCTATTCCAGTCTGTTCTCATTCAAATGTTATGGCTCCCCTCAAAAAAAATATCGGGGAATTATTAGCAGGGGTATTGGGAATTCTCTTAAGAACTCCAGTCCTCATGTAACAGGCAGAAGGAATAACTTGGAAGAGCGGGAGGAAGATAGTTTGCTTGCACGTTTCCTTGCACGCCCAGGTAATATCTTCAGTGCTAGAAGGGAGAGGGGTTCATTCTCTGTTTATATACAGTAGCTTGCCCTATTAGTGTTGGTGGGAGTGAAGAAAAGCTGAGATTTGGGGGGTGGGGGGAGAGAGAAGGAAGAGGCCTTGGTTGAAGTCCTATAGACCGAAGGGTCTCCTGGCCTACCTTCTTGCATTCACTTTTGCTACACCAATTGCTCTCATTTCTTGACTCACCATTTTGGTAGAAGAGCTTTCATGTGAAGAAACAGAACTGCCATCTGACACCTCGTTGTACAAATTGCAGTTTTGCACTGCCACCTGGTCTGTTTTTATTTGTTTTCCAAATAAGCTTTCCATATTTTTGTTCTCAGGTTCATCGTGCGGCCTTTTTTCACTTTGGAGTTGGTTGCTTTCCCGACCAACACATGTGCCCATTTCCTCCAAGAATTGTACAGTGTATGGATACAATTTATTGACAATATGGAGAACCTGCCCTGGCTTCAGTTTGGTTTCTTGATCTTTGCCAACATCCACTAGATCAATACTGGTTGGATTGACTCCTATCTTAAAAAAAAAAAAAGGCAAAATGTTAGTATTTGCTCTCCTTGAAAATCAGAATCCCTGAAATATATTGTGATATCTTATTAAATCAGGAGTCCCTGACCCCAGGGCTATGAACCAGTACCGGTCCATGGCCTATTAGGGACCGGGCCATACAAATGATGGGCGAATGAGCAAAGTTTTATCTCCACATGCGTGGAATCCAGGTTGCGCATGAAACCATACCCCTCCTGTCCACGGAGGACAATTTTTCTTCCAAAATGTCCCTGATGCCAGAAAAGTTGGCGACTACTGTATTAAATCATTATAATAGACCATCTCATCTCCAGGGGAAGATGGCAGACTGGGGACAGTTCCATAGAAAAGTGAATTTTATACAATTCTAATATGAAGTTAAATAGTGCAATAAAAGCTAGGATGTATTAAAATGACAGTGGCTTTTTTTGGCTTTGAAGAATCTACTATCCCAAAGTTATCAAATTATGTATATACAATCCTCAAATTATGTACATATAATGAAATAGTGAAAATCTTGTGATATAGTATGTCATGAGAACCAACAAATGGAGGTTGAAAAAAGGTTGATTCCTATAATTATTCATATTTTAATTCTTAACTAAGGAAACAAAAGTGAGAAACTCAAGGTGCTATACCATAAACTATACTTTCATTTTTGCAAAATGTTACATTTTATGTAATGTTTCTCCTAAGACCGGCTAGATAACTCTAGGTGAAAGATCCTTTAATCTGGATTTATGCACCAAAATACTTAAGAATTAAGAAATATTTGCCAGTCCATTTGCCAGCAAATACACAGCAACAAAGCAGTTTATTTCAGACTGATTGCTATCCTATACTGATTAATCTGGGAGTAAGTCCCACAGTATTGATGGGGTTTACTGCTGTGACAATACATATAGGACAGCGTTCTAATCCTCCTATAGAGAACAAGGAAATTACAGAAATTTAGCTTTACTTTTTGGATTGGAGCAAATAACTGTGAATGAAGTCTGTTATGTATTAAAGAAGACATAGGAATACACATTTCTACCAAATGGAATGGATCTTAACAGATGTACCAAAAGAATGAAGTTAATGAAGTTCAAAGTTAATAAAAGTAAACAAAGGAAGTTTCTTGTGATGCACCATCTTGCACAATAGATAATCCACCTGCATCCACAAAAATCAAACCTTAGTTAGAGAAGGCGGCTAACTCTCTTGCTTTATTAATCTTGGTGGAAGCAAACTGAGCAAAAGGGAAATCATACCAGAGAGTTCCTAGTTTTTTAAAAGAAAAAGAAGCCAACCTTTCATTCTTTTGCGTCTGTGGGTTCAGTTATAGTGTGGGTTCAAATTAGCCTGAATATTCTCCTGGTTTCCGTTTGGCAAATTCTGGGAACTGTTGTTTTATAAAGCATTTCCTGAGCCTTTTATTACAAAACATCAATCCATGACCCCTATGCACAATCCAGAGTCATTTGGTCAAGAATTTTGACAAGCAAACTCATTAGGATCTGACTTAAATGAGGAATGTACAATTTCCTCAAAACTTAGCACAGAAAGCCACTTTTTAACAACTTGAAGGATTTCAGAATTTTGTCTGAATCTGATGTGATACTGAAGTCCAAAAGCAAATACATTTTGAAGAGGTGTAGAGTACATAGAATCCTCTTCCTAATAAAGCTGCTTTGCAGTAAGATAAACTGAGGGTTGTTCTGTTTGGGCTTAGCATGGTTTATAAACCCAGTCACTATGGTTTGCACACTGGGAATGATTATTAAAAGCATTTATTTATTACATTTAAAATACGCCCAATCATTTTAATTCCTTGGATTTAACATGTAAACCTAACCACTAATGGTTTGTAAAAATGCATTTTATAGTGTATCATGTTTTATAAACTCAGTGAATTTACTGAGTCAATAAGCCTTTCTTACGGTAAATCATAGCTTAGCATAAGGTGTAATGATCCATAGCAAAGGTTACTTCTTATAAGGGTAGGATTCAACTTATGACTAGTTAGGACTGAAATTACCTGCTAAACAATGCGATCATAAAGCAAGATGTCACATGACTCTATCACTTAGCAATCACAATCCCATCAGTCCTGGTTGTCATTGTTAACTAAGAACCGCAAGTCATTAAACGAGTACCCAGCCCAGGCCAAGTCACCCCAGGTTGGTCGCTTCCAGTCCCAAGTCTCAGTAAGATAAGGGACTGTCTCCAACTGTGTGTCCCTCCACCCGACTCACCTATCTATCCTCCTTTCCCCTGCTCTTTTGCTTTCCTGCACCCAATGCAAGGCTCTAGGAGTCGCAGCCACCTCAGCCAAGTCCCAACCATCACAGTCCAGTCCCAGTTGCCTTGCTACCCTGCACTCTGTAGCCACTCCAGTTTACCTTTGATGCCTTCTTCCTCCCACTGCTAACTAGGCATGTCTACCCTGGATTCTGAGCTGGGCCGGGTTGAACTTCTTCTGGGGGGGGGGGGAAGCAATCCCTTTCCAAAGAGCTTCTGGATATGTCTGGTCAGCAGTGGGAACAGTGGGAGCAGGAAAAGGTCAGCTGGGACGGCAGAGTGCATGGTGGCAGATGCCAAAAGGCCTCTGAGACTACTAGAACAGCTGATTTAATCCTTTAAAAAAAAACAAAAACCTTGCTATTAATTTTTCTAGATATTTATAATTAATAAATCAATTGGATATGCAGATGCTAAGAGATGATTGTAATAAAGAATCAGAGGTTCCTATATTGCCTAAACAGTGGGAGACTGAGGACAGCATTTTGTTGAAGATATAAAGACAATTCTTCATGTTTTTAATAATGTCCTATACATACTGTGTTTGGGGAGAAAGTAGTGGACCATATAAATGTGACCACGCAACAAAAGTTAAAATTTTCAGATGATAATATTCTCTTATTACTTACCTAGTATATAGAATATGGCAACCGGACATGTAAATAGATTCTCCATGTCTTTACTATAGCTAAAAGACTTATGTTGCAGAATTGGAATGATAAATGACCCAATTTACTCAATGGATTGAAGACCTAATTATACTTGCTACTTATGAGCAGATGACAAAGACAGTATCTGTACAGATAAGTACAATGTAACATGGGATTCATTTATACAATATACAGTTGGTTAAAAACAGTTTGGCAGATTTAAAGTGTATTAGAAATATATGTCGGTATGGGTGTATACACACACACACGCTTGCATAATATTTGCATCAGATTATATATATAGAATTGTCACTATTTAGTGTTGTAATAGCATACTTTTTACTGATATATTTTTTCACTTATTTTTCCAGTACTTGGTGTGTGTGTGTGTGTGTATACACACATATATAAAATGTTGTATGTATGTATGTTTACTTCTTGTTTTAATAATTTATTCCATAATGCTGTATGGAAGGAAAAAGCATACCTGTTTAACCTTGACATACCCTTTGTTGTAATCTGCTTTTAGTTGTACTGAAAAAAAGTGACAAAGAATATTAAGCTGTGAATTTTATGGAAGTGCTGAGGAAGGGAGAAAAAAGGGGTCAATTCAGAAAAGCAAATGCTTTAACAGTGATGCAATTTATATTAAACAGTAGATGTTAGGAGACAACCAAATTATTCTTATTTCTTTTGTCTGTTTAAAAATAAATGCAGCCAGAAAATGATAAACTATGATCATGTGGATTAAAATCAGAGGTGGGATTCTACCGGTTCTGTCCAGCTCTGTAGAACCGGTAGCTCTGAAGAGCAGCAGACATAGAACCGGTTCTGTGTCTGCTGCTGTTTTGGCCCACCTGCCCACCCAGGTTCTTACCTGACCTTTATTTCCTTCTTTTTCAACCTCAGCTGCTTTGCACGGCACAGCTGCGGTTGAAAAAAGCAGGAAAAAAGGCGTTTTTCAAGCACTGCGTACCCACGCGTAGCGCTGCTCAGCTGTCCAGGCAGCAAGCTGACGATTTACACGTGCACGCAGCGTATAAATCACCAAACCGGTAGTTACATCGGTCGGATCCCACCCCTGATTAAAATTATTGCTACAATTACACGCTATAATAGTTTTATAACACTTTACTTCAGTCTCATACTATCTCCCTATACTAATCGGTCTTTGGGTTTCAGTAGCTGTACTCAAGAGGAAAAATATCTTTTTTCTTTTTCAAATTAAGTTATACACATTCGCACTACAGTTCTTGATACACGCATTCACCACATTGTACATCAGTGTTCTCGACATGGACAGAAAATGTCAAGGTACTCCTCATTCAGTCCATTCCAAGACTATCTAAGCAGCCTATGTAGCTGAGTTTTCCTAGAGTCACTATTATTTTCTAACAAGGGCAGATTCATTACAGGATTAAAAAATTCTATTGAACTTTCTTATATTTCTCCTACTACTACTATACTACTATTAGCCTTAACGATACGGATGAACAAGTAACTTTGCAACCGGTCCTCACATTTATGAGGTCTGTAAAGCAAAGAAAAGCTGAAGTAAGATCATAAGCACAGTTGTAGTTTAGATTCTTTTGGAGTAGATGGCTATAACAAAATCTAATTAATAAAAATAACCTGAGAAAATGAAAATAGTCATCCTTGAGAGTAGAAATTAAATTCAAACCAGTTTTCCTAGCTAGCTCAATCTCTTAGCTACATAGTTATGACTCACCATGCCACCTATTTTGACCCTTTATCTGGCACCAGATATTTATGCCATTAGGCACAATAAAAAAGATGCAAAAATTAAATAAAGTAAAAACTACTGAGTTTACTAAGAGTTATTCCCTAGCATATTTAAGACTGCTACCTTAATCTTCAATTTACCTTGTTTTCGTGAACACTTCTTGTCTGTAATCTCCGTGTCAGGCCCACGCCCTATCACCACCATTTCTAAATGCGGTAGTTTAATTCGCTGACAGCTTCTATCTTTGCTCACTAGCCAGCACACACGCATTGTGCTCAGGGAGGGGAAGGAAAAAAAAAAAAGAAATACTCAGTTTTATCAAATAAGGTCCAGCTAGGGAGAATGATCTACAGGTGCTATAAAAGTATTTTATTCCAGAACACTCACTAGAGGTTTTTATCTACTGTATAAAATTTACTATCTCCATCTATAAAGGGAAGCGCACAAAAATTTACAAGACTTTGAACAGCTTATTATCCAAAATGTTGAGATTTTCATTTATTTTTTGTTATAATGAATAGATTTGAAAAAATAACCGATTAAACAATATATATTATGCTACATTTATAATTATATTTATGCATATTTATAATTCTATTAAACTTACAATACATTAACTAGATTATAAAGCATTCCAATTAAAGAAATTGTTCTGTGACTCATATGCAATGTCATTTTTAAAAACTATACTTTTATATGAACCACATAATTTCATTCACTCTAACACTTTACAGTAAATTTATTGTAAAGTGTCATTTTTTAAAGTCTGCCAATAGTTTTTAACTAACAATTTATAATTTATAAGTATAAAAACTAACTATTTATAAATTTATATAGACCAAAATTGCCGATTCATACTTGGCATAGCTTTTTCCTTCTCCCAGAAGAAAAAAAACAGAATTTGCTTATTTGGAATAAACATTCTAGCACATCAGATTTTTTTTTCAGATGATGGATTACAGTGCTAAACCTTTTAACTTGGCCAAAGGGCAACATTAAGTAGTGATGGGTGAATTAGCTGAAAACATTGTGCCTATGAAATGAAGGTTTTCTTTCATTGGAGCTGTTCTTAAGTGCATCTATGGTAGAATCCAAGGAAGTAAACTATTTTTGCAGAGCAAAACAAGGGAAATCATCCTATTTTTAACATCTAAGACTGCTTATTTAATTTCTAAATTGAAAAAAAATACAGCTTACTATTTTGTTTCATGAAAAGTTCAGAAAACAATTTTGAATTTGTTTGGAGAAAGTGTGGAGAACTTTAGATTTTGAACAATTATAAACAGAAAATTCACTGCCCTTCCTTTTACACCATATTTACTGTGTACTTCTTACTACCCCTGTAACAGAGAAACCAAGAAAAGGGTGCAGTTTCATTTTTAAGTTTTTCTTTGAATTTCCAGTTTTCTTCAAAAGATGGTTTTTGAATGGATTCTGCATCTGGCAGCAGGAGTGTTCAGCACTTTTCAGGATACAGAAATTACTTTACAAGAGAAACTGAACCGGTTCACCCCCGCTTTTTCCATTGCAAATATGACAGACCAGGACTATTTTGGAAAGCAATTGTTCGTGGATACATGTATCCAAAATTTTGGCTCTGCACTGTATTTTATCCGGGCTATGATCCTCATCACCAACATCCAGATTTAATGCATGTTTATTAAAAATCCTATTAACTAAGTTCAGCATGCAAATGATGCGACTGAAACAAGCCAAATACCTGCCACAATCAATTCAGCATTTTAGGGCAGCTGGAGTCTGGCTCCTGAAAGTCAGTGACTGTACGACTATACGAGTTTCTCCGAAGAAAATGTTGTAACAGAAACATTTCTTCCGGATAATCTCTCTTGCGCCATCTCACAGTACAATTTTATGCTTGATTTTTTTAAAAGACCATCTAAAGACCCATGTACCCCATTCGATTTCGTTCCTCCCTATAATTTTCGGCGAGTTATTCAACACCCCCCCCTCCCGAAATACTAGAAGCTTCCTTCACGGGAACCGCCTCCTTTCATCAACACACACTCCCTCGCATTTCCACTCACCTCCACGTTGCCATCTCTGCACCTTTCTACATTTCCTAGCCAATAGCGTCCCTCTGGACCGCTTCCAGCCCAATCAAATTTCTGCTTCCTTATTCCCACCCCCCTAAGAGGAAGGAAGTAAATTACCCAGCCAGTTTCTCGACCTTTCTTTCCCGCATTGAAGATGAGAGGGGGGGAAAAACCACTGTGTTTACAAGGATTCGTGATCGGATTTTCTCTTATTTATGTAACCATTAAAAAAGGCTAGGCCGATCCATTAAAACCAAAACCACTGGCAGTTAGTACTGATATTAAGGCCACTCAAAATCTCACCAAAATATTTAGCGAGCTCTTCAATTCTCCAACTTTTTAATCCGGCTGGATGTTAATTAAAGCAGAAAAGAGAGAAGGTACTTTAGAGTCCCATTAGGATGCCTTTTAGGGACATAAAAATGAAATGCAGCCAATGTATGTATGTATGTATGTATGTATGTATGTATGTATGTATGTATGTATGTATGTAT